CAAAAAAAAAAAAAACATTGTACTTGAAAGTGATTTTTCTACCGAAATACTAAAACTTAATATATTATTTTAACATTACATTGGAAATATTTCTTTCTTTTTATCGTTTAACTTCCATCCTTTGCCTGCCGTGACAAATTTGTCATAAATTATAGCATATTTATTGTTTTAGAGTATTTTTCGTCATACTCAAATGTTAAAATTTGACTTTTTTTTTTATAATTGTTAAAATTTAAGGTTAGCACACCATTGTGACAAATGCATTTGATATACTTTAACAAGATGGCATCATTCTTAAAAAACATTAAAAAAAAAAAAAAAAATTTGACTTTCTCTCGATCGGGCCTATTTGAAATTCAACGAATCACGTTATTAGCACCACTATTTTTTGCCTTGCAATCAAGCTCTTTTATCTCTTGTCGTTTAACGGTCGATCTCTGTCTTACTCAAAAAAACCTTTGCACGAACTCGTTTTACTTCACTTATATGTTTATTATTATTATTATTACTATCATCAGTTTTTTGAAATGTTTATTACAATAATACATTTTGATAAAAAAAAATTAATAAGCACATTAATTTATATGATATATATATATATATATATATTGCTAGAAGCACGTTGATTTGTATTTAATACAAAGGTTATAAACTTATATGATAATTGATATAAAATAAGAATATAATAAATTAAAAGAGGAGGGACAAGTCTATTATAGGCTTTTCTAATTGATATTTTCTTATAAAAATTGAAAGAAAAAAAAATTCTCAAAAAGGGAAAAAGAAACGTACAAGTTGGAAACCATGTGGATTAACATTAATCTAATCTAACCTCTATCTCTATTATCAAATAAAGTCAAAGCGATGGAATTAGTATCCCAAAAGTTACTCCTTGAAAAGGGGAAGTCCACGAAACCATTCTCCTGTTTTTTTTTTTTTTTTTTTTTTTTTTTTTGGGAAAATGCATATATAGCATATTTGATACCTATATTTAAAATAAATAGCATTTTTTTTAAAAAAATAGTGATAAATTATAGCATGTTTTTTATTTTCAATTTAAAATTAAATGTTCTTTCCTAAATTTATCCTTTCTTTCTTTTAGAGTTTTATCTTTTCTTCCTCACACCCTTCCCCTCAGCCGCCTCTCCCATTTCTATCTCCTCTCCCCTTTCTCTCGTCACAAACTTTGCTCTGGACGGCGATGGCAAGTTGAGGTCTCTCTCGTCCCCCCCATCTTTCTTGTTAGCAACCTCTGCTCTGATTTGGTGATGACAATGACGGTGATCGATCTAGGACGCGTTGCAAATCATGTCCGAGCAGATCGCCACATATGGGGTCCACTCCTAGCAGTGACAATGACGACTTGACGAACCTACGAACCACGTCTGACTAGATCGCAACATATGGATTAAACAATATTTAATGGTAAATATGGTATTTACCATTAAATACAGTGTTAAAACGGTCATCGAAAAACATGTACTGAAAAACGGTAATCGATCGCCAAGAAATGGTCACAGATTGTCAGAAAATGGTCTCTGATCGTTGGAGCTGATCACCGGTTCCGAGCACGATGGACTTGACCATAATCTACCTATTTTAAAAAATATGCTACAATTTACTTTTTCTTTTTTAAAAATAGATGTTTAGGGGGAGGAGTGAGGTGGAAAAGGAGGTTTATGGATATTTTTTGATTTTTAATAATGTTTAAAACTTAAAGTTTCACATTATGCTATGATTTACTATTTTTAAAAAATATGCTATAATTTTATTAATCGCTTTACTAATTATATTATTTACTTCCTTATCCTTTTTATTTTTAGTTTTATTTTTATTAATTTTGTTCCCTTTGTTGCTAGACTAGAATAAGTTATCTCTTTTGCAAATGCTCCCTTTCATTCGTTTACTGACGTGTAAAACACATTTTTTAACTGTAAAAGATTTTAAGGCGAGTCATAAAATAAAATGTTCATAAGTAGTTTTTATTTTGTTTTAATAATTCCATAAGTAGTTGAGCTTATTCTATATATGGTGTATATATGATTATGTATTCATTTTATTCGTGCATTTATATTGCTAAGATAATATTTTCGTAATTAATTATGACAAATTATATCTAAATAAATTTCATATACTTCTCTGCTGTGTTAAAAAAACATTGTTCTTTTTTAAGGGGTTAAAACATTATTTCTATAACTAAACAAAAGACTATTTTCAAGTTTTCAGAAGGAAAAAAAACTATTTTCAAAATATCCTTTTTTTAATATAAAATATTCATTTTTATTAAGGGTGTGCAACAAACCGTTCAAAGTCAAACCTATCAAACCAAACTAAACAAAAAAAAAAAAAAACCAAACCAAACTAATTAATAATCGGTTTGATTTGCTTTAAATTTTTTTAAAAACCAATTAAATTGATTTGGTTTGTGGTTTTAACCTTTAACAAACCAAATCAAACTAAACCAATTCAATTTATATATATTTTGTAGATGTGTAACGTATTGATATATAAAAAATATGTTTATTTCAATGTTAAATGATCATAACCCGAGATATTTTTATTATAAGAAATATCTATCATACAAAATATTAGTACTTGTTACGATTTAGGGAGTTTGAGAAGAGGTTACAAAATATTAGTTCAAACTAATTAGAAAAACCAAACCAAACTAATCACAATTAGTTTGGTTTGGATTAGATTACATCTCTTAATTGATTTAGTTTGGTTTGAAAATCTCTAAACCGATTTGTAATCGGTTTGATTTGCATTTCGCTTAGAATAGTGATTTTGTTGGTTTGCACACCTTACTTTTTACAATAACTAGTAAAAACAAGTGTTTCCGGGCGGTAGGCCTACTATTGTTGTCTCTCTTTAAAAGCGGAGCCGCATAGGAGGGTTCCACACAAAAGGGTTTGGATGTCCAATAAAAGGAATTTAATTTTGCGCTTGTTTTATAAGTTCAATTACTGTTTAAATGTTTTTGTTATAATATTTTCGCTCACAAAATTTAAATTTTTTTATTAAAACTACATGCCCTTTTAAAGAAAAAAATATGATCATTCTAAAATAAATCACTTGGTTCATACAAATACATGTGAAGCGCGATGTTTTTAAAATAACATAAAATATTCATAATTAGAAAAGGTCAAGCCCTCTCTAATCAATATGTTTTTGGTTCAATCTTGAACTTAATTTTTTTAATTGAGATTCATTTTCTTTAATTTAGGTATGTTGACATTGAAATATATGTGTTGGTTGTAAGACCATGTCTCTGTTCATTTGAGATATTTATTTGTCTTTGTTATGAGTTGATTCGAGTTTTTAATTCGAGTTGAAATGTGACTTTATGTGAGAGTTTTTTAGTATAGTAAAAAAGTTAGATGTGACTATTTTAAGAAAAAATTTGAATTCTAAACTCGAATCGGTAAAATGAACGAGTCTAATTACAAAAATAGAAATTTATTTATTTCACTGATTTGAATTTTTAGTTATAGATGTTGTTAGTTAAAAACTCTAAAAAAATATCACAATTAACCTTTTTTATTACAGTTAAAAACTATAAAAAAATATTACATTTTAATTTAAATTGAAAATTCAAATCTCTAACAAGGTCTAGACTCTTTAAGATCCTGTTTTATCCGTTTTACACGTGTCATTTTCTTTATTTTTTTTTATTTTCGGCATTTATTACCAAAAACCCCAAAATTGCCTCCAGCTAAAAATCCTTGATCTATGGCAGACGCAACCTGCAACCCAAATATTCATCTCCATTGAAAATTTCGCCGTCACAAGAAAAAGAAAGAAAAGCAAAAAAAAAAAAACGACAAATCTTTTCCTGGTGAATGTTAGAATATGAGAAGGAAAGAATGGGTTCTATGATTTATAAAGGGAAAATGTCAGTGTCTCATGGAACGGGAAGAAGACGAGTGGTTACGGAGGAATCCAGAAACTTGCTGTAGATAAGGGCCTAAATGGCACTGCCATAAATACAAAAGTTAACAATGGTGCGTGCATAAAATTCTCCGCAATAAATAAATGCTCCGTTTAATTTGTTAATTTAAATTTTTAATTTGAGTTAATATGTGATTTTATATGAGAATTTTTTATTATAATAAAAAAATTAAATTTGATTGTTTCTGAGAACTTTTTACTGTAATAAAACTCAAATCAGTAAAATAAACCGAGTCAAGGTCTCGATTATGAATTTAAAATTTTAATTTGAGTTAATATATAATTTTATATGAGAATTTTTTACTGTAATTAAAAAAATTAAAATTAATAAAATAAATGAGACTTAAAAGTGCATACAATAAAAGTGGTTAGAGACGTTAGAAGACGTTTATTTTATGTATTTAGAATTATTCTTGATTTACGTATATTTTTTTATGAGAGAAAATACTGTAAAGAATTATGAATCATGATTCAGAATCAGAGACGGATATCATGGATTAGAATCATGTAATTAAAACTATTTTCGATTTACGTGTATTTTTTATAAGAAAAAACATTATAATAAACCATGAATCATGATTCAAATCATGATTTGAATCCTCCAATCAAATATCTCCCTTATTACTTAAGCTGAAAAGGAGGAATGGCAGTCTTGTGAATATAATTGAAAAAAATTACTTATTATTTTACTGTATTTGTTTGATAAAATAAAATAACGACGCATGTTAAATAAATAGAGTAGCGTATGAGAGAGTACACAATAGAGTTGTATTTTACACAACGCAGCCGGGCAAAAGAAAAGCAAAAAGCAAACAGCAAAAAAGAGTGCCGTTGGGGCCAACGCTGACGTGGCAAATACACTCGTAATAGTAATCACTATTATATTAATTTAAAATATTATTTATTATTATTATATAAACACCACTCAAACACGCTTTCTTTCGGCTTTGCGTCTCATCATCAGTCGTCCCACAGAAAAAGAAAGAAGAAAAGAAAAGCCAAACTCCAAAACTCTTTTCTTCTTCTTCTTTTCTTTGTTATTGTTATTACTTTCCCTTTCTTTCTCATCTGAATTGGGAAAAAATAAATAAATAAAAAAGTCGGTAATCTCTTCTGAGTTTTGTCGTTTGATTTTCCTGGTTTTGAATCGAAGTAATTGGTCGTTGGTGGGTAATCGGAGGTGCGGATTATACGACGTCGTACGTGTGGTTTGGTTAGGTAGGACTGGACTGGACAGAGATGGGTGGTGGTGAAGTTGAAGCGGTGGGGAATGGAGGAGGAATAACAGCGATGGAATTCTTCCGGGAGGGGGAGGGTGATGAAACGGCGTCGTACACTTGGCCTCCGAGAATCCCCAGACGCCTTTCCAGGCGCCTCCACTGTAAGACTCCCTGCACCGTCGAGAAAATTGAAGCTAAGCTTCGTCTCGCCGATCTTCGCCGTCAGGTCTCTCCCTCTCTCTCCCTAATTTCCTTTTTTATTTCTTGTTTTCCTTTTCAGTTTTTCTTTTTTGTTTCTATTTTTGTTTTTATTTTCCTTTTCAGTTTTTTTGTTTCTATTTTTGTTTTTGTTTTAAATTTATCTTTTTATAACCTTTCATCCTTTTATCGAGGAAACTCGAAGTAGTTTTTATTTTTATTTTTATTTTTTTATTATTCAATTTTCTCCACGAATTTCTCTTCTTTGAAATTCGATGACTCTCTCTCTCAATTTTTTTTAAAAAATAAACGTGATGATTTCTTAATATTCGACTTGTTCGCTTGCTTCGTAAATTTCAACGACTGAACTATAACATTTTCTTCTCTGTTATTCTTAAGTTGCTTTTTGTTTTGTTTTTTTATTAAATTCATTCGATATCTAGAATTATAATATTTTTTTTGTAAAAACATTTTATTATTGTCTTTCACGCATATGCTTAGAATTCCCGAAGTGATGATTACAGAAAAAAAAAAAAATTCATCGAATTCTTCCGAGTTTTCATGTTTTTCGCGTCCACCCTTTTTTTTTTTTAAAAAAAAATATAGATTGTACCTACCCCTTCTCTCTTTGGATTTCCAATTCCAGAATTCCTAGAGGTTGTTAGAGTTTTTTGGTCTTTTTTTCTTTTTAAAAAAAAAAATATTTTACCCAACCTTTGTGATGAAGGATGTTGCTGTGTTAGGTGAGTCAGTTTCTTCTTCTGTATGAATTTTTTTTTTCCCCCCTGGGTCTCCTTTTTTTTTTTTTTTTTTTTTTTAACTTCATATGGTCTCTTTCACTTTCTATTGGTGTTTGATGTGAATTATAATTGGACTTCTATACAACCATAATAGCTTTGGCTAATTTTCAACAAGTCTTGGTTTCTTCACACGTAACATATATAAAAGTGTAACATATAAAAACTGAGGTTATAACATGGCACTCATACATCGTACGTAAAAACGTTACTTAAAGGTTAAAAAGTTATATATGCTTTAGCAAGACATTATTTTGTAACAATTAAGGAATTTATTCGTCTTATACCACGTTTCTAAAGTTACTGGTACGTCGAATTCATGGCGTGTTTCTAAAGTTAAGTATAAAAACCGCCCTTTTAACAATTTTTGCCTTCGTGGGCATTCGCTTTTGATCAACTTTTTGCGTTGTGAGAAAACTTTTCTTGGTTATATACTTAAAGCTACAGTTCTCTTTGATTGCAGGAATACTATGAGAAGTTGTCGAGCAAGGCACGGCCGAAGCCTCGAAGTCCCGTGCGGTCTTCCTCTCCTGAGGAGGACCTCGGGCAGCGCCTTGAAGCTAAGCTACAGGCTGCTGCCCAGAAAAGGTGGATGTTATTTAGTTACTGAATGATTTTGTTACTTTTATTGGTACTTATTCTTGGATGGAGACTTGAAATGTTGGGTCCAGGACAAAGAAATAGATGCATTTTGAATAATTGAGTTGTTTTTTGTTTAGGGACGTGAAAAGGCCACCCTGCCTATCCTGCAAGACTTTAGTTTTTGTTTTGCTTTCTACATGCTTACTTCAGGCATTAATTTCGGAATGTTTCTGTGGTGGTCCATGGCCCTTTGATTGTCTCCTTGTTCCTTTTAAATGATTTTACTCGAAACTAAGCACGTACTGTAGAAATTTACAGGAATCCTTTCTCTGTTTATTATCTTCTCTCTTTATTTTGATTTTTTTACTTAGATAACACATCTACTTTCAACTGGTCTAGTTATTTCCCGAAATCTCCTTTTATTTTCTATTTTTATCTTTGACACTTCACAAAGCAATTATCATGGTGAAAAGATTATTTCGTGCTTCTGACAGTCTAATTATCTATATACTTTGTTAGCATATTCTTCTTATATGTATATGTATGTTACAAAGATTAAGCACGTGTTCTCGGAAGTGATGTGTGTGCAGACACATATCTGTGCATATTACTGCCGAGGCTGATGTTAAATCTGTGACTGGTCTAGTCTTCTTTTCTAGGTTGATCAGCTACTTTTTTTAATTTGACTCCTTTTTACTTCTTGTTGAATCAACAGGTCAAGGATGTTGGAAAAGGCTCAAATGCGCTTAGCTAGGTTGGATGAGTTGCGGCAAGCAGCTAAAAGTGGGGTAGAAATGCGTTATCAGAAGGAACGAGAGAAAATTGGCTCAAAAGTACAATCACGTTTTCAACAGGCAGAGGCAAATAGAATGATGATGCTTAAGGCTTATAGACAAAGAAGGGCCACACTAAAGGAGAGATCATCTCAGTCATTATTGCGCAAGATGGCACGAGACAACAAATACAAGGAATGTGTACGGGCTGCAATTCACCAAAAACGTGTGGCTGCTGAGAAGAAGCGATTGGGATTTCTGGAAGCAGAGAAGAAGAGGGCTTGCGCTAGGATGTTGCAGGTTCGCCGAGTTGCTAAGTCTGTCTCTCATCAACGTGAGATTGAGAGGAGGAGAATGAAGGACCAGTTGGAAGATCGGCTACAAAGAGTATGTATCCATTCTCTATTGAACTCGTATTGCAATTCTGTGTTATTATTAGTGGTGCTTGTGGTGCTTTATTATTTATGTGTTTCAATATGGTATTTTATGTGTTATTAGGCAAGGAGACAAAGAGCAGAATATTTAAGGCAGAGAGGTAGGCTTCATAATTCCGTTCAAGTGAACTGGAATACGATGCACAAGCAGGCTGATCTCCTCTCTAGAAAATTGGCAAGGTGTTTATTCCCTATAGTTGCTATTACTGTTGTAACCCTTTTGTATTTCGAGATGGTTGTCTTTTTTAGTATTGGTGGACATCGGATGCACTTCTGAGTGGTAAACTAATTTTTACGCATAAAACTTGAGTTGGCTTGTTTAATTTGTTGCTTTTGTAGGTGTTGGAAGCAGTTCCTTAGGCACAGAACTACCTTGTCATTGGCAAAGGCTTATGATGCCCTAAATATAAAGGAGAAACACGTCAAATCTATGCCTTTTGAGCAGCTTGCTCTTCTGATTGAGTCAGCTGACACTCTACATGCTGTGAAAGCTTTACTCGATCGTTTTGAGAGTCGATTAAAGGTCTTAAGAGCTATTGCTTCTGCTAGTCATACACCCGGCACGGAGAACATTGATCACCTTCTCAAACGAGTTGCTACTCCAAAGAAAAGGACTACTCCAAGGAAAACTCTGAGGGGAAGAGAGGCAAAGAAAGCAACTACTTCCAGGGAGACAGCTAACAATCTAACTAGATTATCAAGGTATCCAGTAAGAGTAGCCCTTTGTGCTTACATGATCTTGAGTCACCCAGAAGCAGTTTTCAGTGGTCAAGGAGAGCGGGAGATTGCTTTGGCCAAGTCCGCTGAAGAATTTGTTCACGAGTTTGAATTGTTACTGAAGATTGTACTAGAGGGGCCTGTGCATAGTTCTGACGAAGAGTCTGAGTCTGTGACGCCTAAACGTTCAACCTTCAGATCGCAGCTAGCAGCTTTTGATAAAGCATGGTGCTGTTACCTAAATTGTTTTGTGTTGTGGAAAGTTAAGGATGCACAGTTACTGGAGGAAGATTTGGTTAGAGCAGCTTGCCAGCTAGAGCTCTCAATGATGCAGAAGTGCAAGATGACCCCCGAAGGAGATAGTAGTGACCTTACTCACGATTTGAAGGCTATTCGGAAGCAGGTATATGACAGCTCATTGATTTTTCTTCCACCAAAATTAACGTAACTAACAATATGTTTCTGCACTGTTTGATTCACAATTAAAAAAAGAGTTAAAAAAATAAAAACAGAGAAAATTTCAATTTTCAAGATTCTTATTTTTCAATTTGATTGACTTATAAAAAAGGAAAGAGAAGGATGAAAAAAGGGGAGACTTCCCCTTTGACGGACTGAAATTTTCTATAGAACAGAGTAAGGTTTGGAGAGAAATGTTGTAGGTGGAGATATGAGTGGTGCTTGCATTGCTTTTCATTTTTGTCGTCATTTACTGTGATCACAAAATGGGAGAAGTTATAGAACTCCCTTTCTCACTTGTATTTTCTGCGCTCCAAGTGGACTAAGTATGTCATATAATTGCATTAGTGAACCCTCTTTTCGTGTTTTAGTTCACTTAATTCGAATGACAAGTATAGTTTTCAAAGCTAGTGAAGCATGCGAATAATCGTTTTTTTTTTTATTTTTTATAAAGGAAGTGAAGCATGTCAATATTATTTATTTATTTATTATTTTTCCCAGCTAATATTAATTTCTGTTCTATTTTTAGGTGGGGGGAGGGTGGGGTTGGGGGTTGTTCTTAGAAGATTGTCTCATTCTAGGAAATGAAAAGGTGTAGTACTGATTTGACGACGGTGTCCTTCAAGTTTTCTGTCAGTTGCTTTTGAATTCTGTCATGAGACAAAGAAAGTTGCAGGCTGGTTTGCAATGGGTTTTGGGGGGAATTGCTTTATTCTTGTGAAGTTGTGTATACTTGAGTCTTGAGTGTGTGTGCGTGAGTGGTGGGTTCGGGATTACCACTTCGACAATACCTACAGGGGATGGAGTCCAGGGACAGGGCAATGCTGCCCAGCAAAATTATGTTATTCAGATCCGTAGTCATTTGTTTATTTGGTTATCAGCTAATACTTTTCTTTGGTTATTCTAATGGTGCAGGTTACAGAAGATCAACATCTTTTGAGGGAAAAAGTGCATCACCTGAGTGGGGATGCTGGGATTGAGCGGATGAATTCTGCACTATCTGAAACACGATCCAAATATTTTCTAGCCAAGGAAATTGGTAGCCCATCGAGGTCACAGATTACTCATTTTATCTCTCCAAGTCCGCCTAGTTCCTCAGGTGGTCCTTCGTTCACTACCTCAGACAAGAAAAGAAACATGGTTGAGAGTAAAGAGCGTCCAAGCCGCGTGGTTCGCTCCTTGTTCAGGGAAGATGATACTCCTGAAGGCCCTCATTCTTCTGCTCCAATAGCCATTTTGGATGAACAACTGGGATCTTCTATTGAGAAGTTGGCCACAGAGAATGAATTGATTGTAAATGAATTTCTTCACAAGCAGCATGAGGGGTTCACTGATATCTTTAATTTAAATGATGAAGATCAAAACGGTGTAAAGGTCAGTGCACTATGACAAATACATGTCTGTAGCAAAAGTAAAACCTTATTATAAGTTTCTGGACAAATACTTTTTGTATATTTGTGAAGATCATAGGTGCCAAGGTTTTTTAGAATCTTATCCGGATAATAATGATTTATACAAGTAATTAGGGAAGAGTTTTAATTTCATTGCTTTTTAGTTGACCGGCTTATGAGTTATAACTCTTTTTTTTAATTTTTTCGTCTATGGAAGTTCCTTGGTTTATTTGGTTTTGAAAAGGAGATGAGGAAGGTCTTTCACACTTGCTGATGTTTGTATTGAAATCTTGCATGTTTCTTTGCTATTCTCCTTGTTGTGTGCAGGCAAAGATAAGAGAGACTATGGAGAATGCTTTCTGGGATAGCATCATGGAATTAATGAAAAGTGAGGATCCTAATTATGATCGCGTTATTCAACTGCTAAAAGAGATAAGGGATGAACTTTGCCAGATGGCTCCAGAGACCTGGAGACAAATGATTATGGAAGCTATTGATCTTGACGTTCTCTCTCAGGTAGGAGCATCTTTGATTTTATTTAATTATTACTATTTACTTTGCAAAATGTTGCTTGTACAAATTACTAAGTTCTATTTTCTTTCAAGGTGCTTAAATCTGGTAATCTGGACGTTCATTACCTTGGAAATATCCTGGAATTTGCATTGGACACTTTGCAAAAACTCTCTTCCCCGGCTAATGATGTTGAGATGAAGAATACTCATCAGAGGTTAATGAAAGAATTAGCAGATACATGTCAGGCCAAAGATGGCTCAAACCATTCAAGTGTTATTGCGATGATCAAAGGTCTGCGCTTTGTCCTAGGGCAGATTCAGGTAAAAAAATTTATTTCTTTATTAAATATTAGATATTATTGCAACAATCAAAGGACCACAGTGGTCCAATGTATATACTTTCTTCACACGTCAAATGGCCTTTTTGTCATGTATTAAGAGCTAGTGTGCAAAAAGGTGGATATTGCAAGTGTAGTCTAGTCTATAAACACGTGGGTTTGTAGTTTCTGAAAATAAACGAAGTTATGCCAGATCTTTGTTTCGGTGCATATGATCTTGAGAATTCTGACTCTTTTTCTTCCCTTTTCCTTTCCCGTCCCC